GAGGAAAATTTGACGAAAAAATTAGGTTTTAATGATAGATTTACAGTTGAAAGTCAATAAATTCTTTGCAGAGCGCGGATCAGCTGAGAGAAACACGTCCACTCTGTAGGTCGTTAATTAGTTTTTTTACATCAAGTGTAGAAATTTGTGTCTCCCTAACACTACTCGAATCAGTTCATCATTATATGACACTGAGAAAGAAGGGTTATATTTACAACTTAGATATCCGAGTATTCGAACGTGAGAATATACTTTCATACCATGATGTAGTAATAAAACATTTTTTAACTTATCTTTATATCTGCATTTCAAATACAAATCAATTGTTTCAATTTTACTGATTTCTGTTTATCTTCATTTTATAATAATTCGGGTAAATTGTTCACTTGGGTGATCTAATTAAAGGTAACCGTAAATTTATAACGAAAAAAACATCAAAATAATGATATGTGACAAGGGAAATCCTCATAAAAATTACTTTTCACAAGAGAACAAAATATACATCACGTTGAATGTATAGAATCGAAGAAAAAAAAGAGAAAAAAACGAACAAAATAACACCTATATTCTACACCTTGGTATATTTCTGTTCTAGAGAAAGAGAGAAAGAAAAAGAGAGAGAGAGCGCTCTAGACACACATAAGCTTATTTTACACAATGTGTGAAAGTTTCTTCTCTTTATTTCGATGAAAAATTAGATACTCAAGTTGTATAGAATAACAACAACTACAACAACAACAGGTTGTTCACATAGACTTTTTAAATTGACTAAAAAGAGAACAAATACAACTAAATGTGATCTATCGATTGAATGTTTTAAAAACAGAGAGAGAGAGAGAGAAAGTCATATATGAAATCAGACAATAGAAACGTGATTACAAGTAAGGTGTATATTTGAAAATGGGAATATCTTGCATAGTCAAATAATTCTTTTTGTACTTGATCAATAATAACTGAAATTTGGCACATTACAAACAAAATTCAACGTCAACGAATTATATTATATAAACGAACAAATGAGAAATATCTGAAAAAAAAAAAAGAATATTTCTGATCGATCTGTCTATTTTTAAAATATTATTTCTTTTCTTTTCTTTATCACGATGGGATAATATGTTTAGTTCCAGTTCAGTAGTTCTTTTTTATGCAGTTGTAGAAACACCATACTAATATTTTGAACACAAGAAAATTTCTGTTTTTATATCATTCATCGAAATGATCATCAAATGCAATTGAGCATTAATCGTCGTTTATTAAGAAACAATTGTCTGTTTTTTTTCATAACATTATTTTTACTTGAATTATTTTTTATTTCAATCAAAAAAGATTCTAACCAAATACCAAATAAATCACAATTCGGTCAACAAATAGACTCGACTAATAGACGACGACAACAACAACAACAACCACAGCAGCAGCAACAACAATATTTTTTTAATTATCTTCAACCAAAACATCATTCAGTTCAATGTAACGCATTGTATGAAGGTGATCAAGATGAATTAAAACATGCTCTTGCATTATTGTCCGATTTAAAACATCCTCAACCAATTGATAATAAATATTATAATATAACTAAAGATCAATGTGCAGTTTATAAATCAGAACGTTTTAATTATCCCTATCATACTAGGGATGAAGAAAATAAAAATTATCCTATTGCTTTTACAATATTAATGTATGAACATGTTGAAGCATTTGAACGTCTTCTTCGTGTAATATATCGTCCACAAAATTATTATTGTGTTCATGTTGATAATGATGCATCTACAGATGTCTATGATGGAGTGAAAAATATTGTTCAATGTTTTGATAATGTAATATTAGTTTCAAAACGAGAACAAGGTACGAATACTATAAATAATATTTTAAATAATTTTAAATATTAATATTACTATTTTTATTCTAGTTGTTTATGCAACATTTTCACGCTTACAAGCTGATCTCAATTGTATGAATGATTTATTTAAATATGCAAATTGGAAATATTTATTAAATGTAGCTAATACCGAATTACCATTAAAAACAAATAGTGAACTCGTTAAAATATTAAAAATTTATCGTGGTTATAATGATATTGAAGGTAATAATATGTTAAGTTTTCTTTACTTGATGATAAATTTATTGGCCATATTTAAATTTTGCTTAAGGAAGATGGAAGACAAGAAATCTACATAGAACAGAATACAGATGGGAAACAATTCGTGCAAAAGATTCAGATAAACAAATAACAATTAAAAAAACAAATGAAAAGAAAAAACCACCACCATCTAGCATCGAAATAGTCAAAGGTTCGGCATATGGTAAGTAAAATTATTTTTATCCATTAATCGGTAGATTAGATCGGATTATTTCTTTAAATCTACTAAAATTTATATTCTTATCATTCTATTGTGATATTTTGATTAGGTGCATTCTCACGACAATTTGTAGAATTTGTTCTAACAAGTCCCATTGCAAAAGAATTACTTGATTGGTCACGTGATACTTATTCACCTGATGAACATTATTGGGCAAGTTTGAATTTCAATACACATCTACATGCACCAGGTTCTTACAAAGGTAACAGTAATGATAAATAGAACTAGTTGAACATTTTTATCCTTTAATTTCAGTGTAAAATTATCAAGTTCTATTGTTGTTATTTTTAGCGAAAGATGATCCTACAAAATGGACTGCCAGATTTGTCAATTGGGGAGAGAGAAATTGTTATGGTAGCATCATACGGGGTATTTATCTTAATGAATACATTTTTTTTAAAATTCAGACCCACTTCTAGTTGAACGGCGAGGTGAGCCTCATTACGTTCTTATATAGGTCACGGAGTGAGGTAACGAGCATAGGCAGTTTGTCAATGCTATTATATAACTGATGTTCTTAGATTTCGGACACTGTACCTTTAAAGTACGATATCAAGACAGTTGTCAGGTCAACTACGCTCCTTAAACATTTTAATTTTTTATTATTAACAATGCCATTTTCAGGTATATGTGTGTTTGGTATAGTTGATCTGGCCATATTACCCAATAGACGTGAATTATTTGCAAATAAATTTAGCCTTACTGGTGATCCCATAGCTTATCAATGTTTAGAAGAATTAATTATGAATAAATCATTAGTAGATTTACCATTATCTGATGCAAGCTATTATCGACAAATGCCATTTTTGCAGCCCTTGTGATACAAAAAGAAAAGGGGACAAATAAAAAATGTTACTCAAATTAGAATTAATACTCAACTAGTTTATGAAGATTTATCTCACAGTAACTTTGAGAATTTACAATGGTTTTGGACAAATACGCTAGGTCATTTAAGTCATTTTTGTCCTTTTCCATTAAATTATTTCGATTTTAACATAATTCCTATTTATTTTAATACTCAAAATGAGATTGATGTATAATTCTGTTAAGTATTTCTGTTTGAACTCAGATAAATTTTTTGAGATTTCTGTCTCTTTTCGTTATTTATGGAATACACAACAGTAATACTTTGTTTCATTTCCTCTTAGATATCGGTGATACATTTTTTTTATCGCTTTTCTGCACCTGTTATTTTTTCTGTTAAGTAATTGAAAGAAACCGTAATAAATGTACTCTGTAAAATGTATGGTTTATTGACTTCAATCTTTCTTACTCACTTCTTCCGTTTCTATGTTCGAATTAACAAGATCGAATAACAAGTGAGAATATTTAAATTGTATGGGTTTCGGAGCGATGCTCACAAACAACGTTGCATACAGATTCTTGCGCACGAGGAAACTTGCGCGTGGAATCATGCATACAGTTATCTTACGTACGCGGAATGTTCCGCACCGGAACCTTACACAACAGGTTTTTACGCATGGACGCTTGCGCACATATCGCATAAAGAGACAGAAAATCAAACTGAAGATGTTCTGTAATCAGAGCGTTTTTTTCGTCGATTCCAGGCTTCAGATAGAATTATTTGTTCTCATTAATGAAGCTTTTGTTCTGACATGAACGTTCCAAAAGTTAATTGGAAATAAAGGGCGCGCTCTACTACCATTAGGTCGCAATCGTCCGATGTAGGTATTTTCAAGTATCTTTTAGCACGATGGGTCTAATTCTACACTAAGTCGACTAAACCCGTTAATAACATCAATGGTCGCTTTCGTAGTTGTAGTCATTTCACGTTGAGAAGTCATAGTACAGACAATTTCAAAATCCTATAGTAGCACTATATTGCGCAGAACTATATTTTATAGTACTATATTGTTTACGAAACATCATCGTTTAATTAGTTTATTCACAATAATTAATTATGTTCTTTAGAAACTTTAAATTAAAAAAAAACGCTCTTATTGTAGAACATCATCAATTTGATTTTCTGTCTCATTATGCGATACTTGCGCAAGCGTCCGTGCGCAACAATCTGGTATGTAAGATTCCGGTGCGAAACATTCCTCGTACGTAAGGTAACCGTACGCATGATTCCACGCGCAAATTTCCTTGTGCGCATGAATCCGTGCTCAACATTGTTCGTGCGCATCGTTCCTAAATCCAAATTGTATAATTACGGCCCTAATTT